ATTCCTGCTCCTTACCAGGCGCATCGTGAGGAGGCAGCTTAAGGACGAAGATCCCTCCCGAAGCAGAGGGCAGAGCGAAGAGAGCCTCCCCCTCGCTGCTAAGCCACGCCGCTGAGGCAACAGAATTAGACGCCAGGCCTGGCACGCTGGGAATCAGGTAGTAATTCAAAGGATCTCTGAAGTTGATTTTGCCGATATCTGTAAACACGGACTGGATTTGGCTCTCTGTTATCAGCTCCTGGAGGAGGGAAACAGCAGAGAGTACAAATCCTGAGCATGCATATACAAGGCACAGAACCAACCAGACACCTGTGGAATGGCAGCTGCGACGCTGCTGCTCAATAAAAAGGATTTTTCCACTAAGAACTTTCATCATTACCACTCCTGTTTCCCCTACTGTTAACTCACAACCACCGCTCTTTATGAGCAGATATGAAAGGGATTTCAAAACCGGCAATTTTCTAGCAGAACGCTCACGCTCTCATATACTGTAACACCCCCAAAGGAGTCCCGCAGTCCATCAGCTGCTTCGAGACAGCTCCTAGCAAAACGCTGGTAACGAGTCCTGTGAAGAGCAGCTCTGCAATAGCACAGCATCATCCCTTGGGAAAGCTGTCTGGAACGCTAAAAGCAAGAGATAAGCTCTCCAAAAGAGGAAAGAGACAGGACAAGACACACCAGAAGCAGACACGAGAGAAAAAGTCACAGCAAACAGGTAAACTTGATGCAAATTTTGCATAAAATCCATCTTCCACCTGAAATAAAAAGATTCTATACTTTGCTGCGTACAGAGGACAAGTTACAAACGCAGCCAGGCCTCCCTCGGAAGCACAGTCCCTACTTCCAAAGCGTACTTTGTCCCCATTGCCACAAGGCCAGGCCCCGGGACCACCGGCAGAGCCACCTCCAAGCCTCATTTCAGGTTATGTCACCGACTTTCGTCGAAATCGGAGCCCTGTTCACAGATCTGAAACACCCTCAGCTTTGGGGCAAAGGCTGCAAATCCGATGCCTACGGCCTCTGCCTCCCCCGTGTGCGGCCTGAGTACGTTCAGTTCCAAACAAAGCGGGAGATTTCCAGCTTGCTTTTCCTACCCAACTCTTTTCCCCAGCAGTTTTCAATTCCACACAGAGAACTACCCCGCACTGACGAGCGTACCTGCTGTATCTGCCCCAAAATCAGAACACTTGGAGTTTAGCAGTTGATAATATCTCTAAAGAAATTTCACTGGAAAAGTTTGGACTGTAAGAAACTAAATTGCAGAGGTTTCCACAAAACTTGGGGAAGCCTGACAGGCTCCAGCTCTGCACCTCTGGAAACACCGGAGGGTTCTAGGCCATGGTACAAATCCCCACCGCAGAGCCATGAAACAGATCTGTCGTGGCAGACTGATCCAGCTGGCAGGTAACTGCCCCCAGCCGTGCGCGGGAGAATAAGAGCAACAAAAACTCATGGGTCGAGACAAAGATGGTTTAATAAGCGAAGGAAAAAGGAGAATAAAATAAAACCAAACCACATGATGCCAAAGCAATCCCTCACCACCTCCTCCAAGCAGCCTGATGCCCAGCCACCCCCAAAAAACGGTCACCTGGCCCAGTCCCCTCCCCTCTGTGTCACTGAACGCGGTGTCACAGCACAGGGACTGTCCCCTCCCTGTCCCAGCCTCCTGCCCACCACAGCCAACTTGTTTGGGGAGCAGAGCGAGAAACAGAGAAGCCCCCAACGCTGTGCATGCACTGCTCAGCGACAGCTCAAGCAGCGGCGTGTTCCCAACTCTGTTCGGGTCACAAGGAGGGGGCAGTGAGGGGGGTGCTGGTCTCTTCTCCCAAGTAACCAGCGACAGGATGAGAGGAAATGGGCTCAAGCTGCATCAGGGGAGGTTTAGATTGGATATTTTGAAAAATTTCTCGATGGAAAGAGTAAGAATTGGAACAGGCTGCCCAGAGAGGTGGGGGAGTGCCCATCCCTGGAGGGGTTCCAAAAACGGGCAGACGTGGCACTTTGGGCCATGGTTTAGCGGGCATGGGGGTGTTGGGCTGATGGTTGGACTGATGATCTTAGAGGTCTTTTCCAACCTTAATGATTCCTAGTTTTTACTTTCATTAAAAAATAATGCAGCCACCAAGCAAGGAAACATGAAATTAATTCTTCCTCTCCCCTTAATTGGCTTAGTGGTGGACTTGGTAGTGTTGGGTTAATGGTTGGACTGGATGATCTTAAAGGTCTTTTCCAACCTAAACAATTCTATGATTCTATTCTATGATTATGTACATAGAACAAATCCACCACATGAGCTGCTGTGAAAAAAACCCAACTCCATCCTAGCCAAAAGCAGTATACGGTCTATTTGGCAGGGGAGAAAATTCAGCCCAACTGGAAAGGGCTCAGGAAAAGCTGAGCTTCATAGCCATCAGCAGCTCGCCTCTGGTGTTTCTACAGCCAGCCCACACGACACGGGCACGGAAGCGGCAATGGGGTTTGTGTGAAGCCCCATGACAGGGCGGTGTTGGGGGTTAATCCAGCTGGGCAGCTAAGCAGCACGCGGCAGCACACAGCCACATGCTCGCTCTCCCCGCCAAGTGGGATGAGGGAAGAGGAAAGGAAGAATAAAAGCATGAAAACTTGGAGGTGAAGATAAAAAAATGATTGCTTAATAAGTGGAAGACAAGCAGAAGAAAAGAAAACAAAACAAGGGACACAAAGGCTGGATAGACTGACACCCAGCCAGTTCCCAAGCAAAAGGTGGCTAACCCCCCCGCAAAACCCCTCTTTTCCCTCTTATTGCCAAGCATGATGTTATATGGCATGGAACATCCCTTTGGTTAGCTCAGGCCGTCTGCTCAGTTGTGCCCCCTCCCAAACCACTGTGCACCCCCAAATCTGCTCACGTGGGGGGCAGAGCGAGAAACAGAGAAGGCCTTGAGGCTGCACAAACACTGCTCAGCAAAAGCTAAGCTATTAGCGCGTTATCAGCGCCGGTTGCGTCGCAAATCTAAAACACGGCACCATACAAGCTACTATGATGAAAATTAATCCTCTGCTGGCCAAAATGAACCCTGTCACGGCCATAAAGCAGCACAGGCGTGAAGCAGCACTTTGTGCCTGCGCCGAGGCCTTTGCTATTTTGCACGGCGCTTAGCGGCTTCGCTGAGGGCTCCTGACAGGCAGACCCCAGGCCGGTGGCCGACGCAGGCGGGGGCGCAGGCCACCCCGATACTCACGCTGCGGTACATGCGGGCGGGATGGGGCAGGAGCAGGCGATGCACCGTCTGCCCGGTGATCAGCAGGACGACCAGGTGGCTCTGTACTTCGCAGAGGTGCACGCCGCCCGGTAGGAAGGGGCAGCCCTGGATGCGGAG